GTGGAGGGTCGACGAAAGAGGGGGAGGCCTTCAACGAGATGGATTGATACAGTGGCTGCGATGATGGGCTTGAGTATAGCAGGGATTGTGGGGCTCGTGCGGGATCGGGCAGTGTTTCGTTCTGCTGTGCATGGGGTCGCTATGAGTCGGAAACGACTCGACGGCACTTAACAACAACAACAACAACTATTAATATACTTGTTATTTGGACTTGACATTATAACTTTAGATTAACTGTTAATTTAACCATTTATGAAAAATATAATGCATAATTCTTATAACATGAAATATTTCTAAAGATATAGAATTAGAAGAAATATATATATCCCTTTCTGTTTTCCATCTCCTTGTTCTGTGCTCCAAAATTACCAAACATACTGAAATACGACCTCTGATTCTTATTTTGAAGCTACCAAACTCTTCACTATTTTAAAAGACTAACAATGTCCCAAATAGATTTATTAGTTCAGCATAGAGCATCACTCTTAGTCCATGTTCACTGTTCCCAATTTCAATTTATTTCCTCACCTCAAGGTAACCTCAGATCTTAAATTAATGTCATCTGATAACAGAGTACAATTCTGCATGACATATTTTTAGTTGTCATAGACAATGCTTTGATGAACTCCTTTAAAGTGAAATAAATCTCTTATGTCATGAAATAAATAGCCTGGTACACTTTTGCAACCATAATGAATACTTTTCAGGGATAAAAATGTTAACAAGAATTTCAAAAAACAATGCAAATGTGGTAATGATAGTATTTTTCCCTATATCCAAATTATCAGGATCATTCTCCCTGGATTTCACTGAAGCCACCTTTTCTGGACATTCCAGGAATGCAGGTGCAAATAATGGACTGGTGCAAATAATTGAATCACTTCTTCAACCATAAATGTTGTGAGGATACTAAGGGGGGTGGGGAAGCCAAACTCATTACTGTGGAGTTGCTTCTGACTTAGTGACCTTATAGGACAGGGTAGAAGTGCCAGATAGGGTTTTCAAGTCTGTAATCTTTATGGAAGCTGACTACCACATGTTTCTCCTGCAAATGAGCACACTTGGGGCTTTCAAGTAAGTACAAAGTAGACTCTGCTTCCAGGGATTCAAATCCCTTGTTCCTAGACCATTAAGTTGTTGTTACGTGCCATCAAGTTACACCCGACTCAAAGCAACCCCTCCCTGGGTTTCCAAGGCAGTATCACTATGGAAATGGATTGCCCAACCTTCCTTCTGAGGAGTGGCTGCTGGATTTGAGCTGCCAGCCTTCTCGTTCGCAATCAAGTGTTTTAGGCATTATGCTACCAGAGCTTCTAGATCATTCATTAAGTTAGAGCCCCTTTATATATAGAACTGATTAGAACAGAGAAACCAATAATCATTAACTTTGAACACTGGTGACCAAAATTAAATTACAAAACACTAACTAAACAAAACACTCATTTTTACTGCAAAATAACAGATTGTTTTTTACATTGGCATTTTTAAGTGATGCACAAATGGTTAGGAAGGTAACTTTAAGACATTTCACTCTGATTCCATAGTCCTGATTTTATTCAGTTGGAGCCACTTTGTCTATCCATCTTTTGTATCAAATATATATTCCTTTATTTTTGGAAAGAATTTTGAATTCCTTTTTTTCCATCAAACTATTAAGTTTCTCAATGCATTTTGATGGGCTAAACTTCCTTTTAGTTGTTTATTAGAAGTCTGGAGGTTCAAACCCACCAGCTGCTCCTTGGAAGGAAGATGGGGCAATCTACTTCCGTAGTGAAACTGCCTTGGAAACCCAAGGAGGGGATGCTATGAGTCGAGTCCGACTCGGCGGCACATAACAACAAAAAATATATGTTGTAAATTCTTACCTAAATCAGTAATGCAAGATATAAAATATACAGAGAACACTATCTTTAACCTGGCATGAAGCTTATATATAAACACAAGTTAAGTTTTACTAACTGCATTCTAAGTGTTATGTATTAACTCAGTGAGTGCTTCCAACAGTTCTATGAGATAGTATCTTTATTATAATTACTTCTTTTCTGTAGATGTTTAAATTGAGGCGAGTTATTTTGCTTAGTTCACAAAGCTAGGCACTTGGGGATCCAGAATTCGAATGCAGAACACTTTTCTTTAGAACATATTCACTTAATTTTTTTTTTTTTTCATTTGTCTTCTTAGGACTTACTGTAAATTTTGTGATCATATGTTACTGTAGAGGTATCTGTAACTGATCTCTTTTTTTAAAAAAATATTGTTTTTTTACACCAAAACATGCACAAATTCAACAGTCTCTACATGTACCATTTAGTGACATCAATTACATTCCTTGAATTGTACAACCATTCTTACCATCATTTTCTGAGTTGTTCTTCCTTCTTTAACATAAATTCACTGCCCCTCTAAGATTCCTAGCTAATCTT